AATTGGTGCTGAGCACTGGAAAATTCTGGTCCTCTACCCAGCATTTATGGCATTATGGGTCAGCATGGTGTATCTGTAGCATTAGGCTGTCCAACCTCTGATTCAATCTTTGCCCTGGCTGTACATGCCCAATTTATTTTATTTGTGAAGAGGAAATTCAGGAAGAAAAGGAATACACTTTCTCCCCCTTTCTCTGCTTTTATTTTTTTTTTTGTCCTTCTCATCTTTCAGCCTGGGATTTACAGTAGCATGGCCCATCCTACCCCCTTCCAAAATGCCCTGGAAAGGAGCCATCTGTGGGTTCCCTCTGTTGCTACATTTCCCAGAGAGCTTGCAGAGTGACATTAATTGTTTTGATGGCATGCACCTATTCGTTGTTGCACACCACTGCCACCTCTCCTGCCTTTCTGGTTTTGCCTTCCCTCATCTCATAATCTCGTGCTGCACTCAAATATTTGTGTACCGTCAGCTCAGAGGGAGTCAGGGCCCTCCAAGCAGAGATGTCCCAAAGCCATTCCAGCGTGGGGAACACATTTCATACTTATCAGGCCGTTTGTTGTGTACAGGTGGGACCCACCTGCTCCGCGTTATCGGAACCGGCTCCTCTCTGGATTCTTCCCCCTGGGCTGGCTGTGCAGGATCGGAGCACGTCCCCTCCACGTTCCCTTTGCCCAGGTACAAGTTGTTGACTGCACGAGGAGCTGACATTCAGTGCTGCTCACTCTTCTCCAGCAAAGCCATGGAAATCTGCTGGACTTCCCGGGCAATATTAAATCCCAAGCAAAAGCTTTATAAAAGCTACCTCAGAACACTACCAAATTATTAGTATTCTTTCTCGTAATACAGATGAGGTCTCATTTTATTGAAAGAAAGGGAGAGAAAGAGTGTGGTGGTTTTTTTCCCCAGCCCTCTTGGGAATTATTTTATTGAAAATATCAAAACCGGGAAGATTTCTGCGGTGCCAGGGGTCAGAATCTTTGACTAGTTTGTTGTAATGTGAACATATAAAAATTCACTCGGTGCTCATTCTCTGCCTTTTATTTAATGTACATTCCAGGTAGTTCCACTTTGATTCTTTACATTACTGTCCCTAGCACTGACATTTGCCTTGAGTGTTTTAAATTTCTTTCATGAATTCTGAAGACGGAAAAACTTCAGGAAAATCACCACTGGCTTAATATGTATTGATGTGCTATTACCAGTGGAACGAATTTTTGTTATTCCAACTGACACTGAATAAACAAGTGCTTTCTGTTTCTTCTGAGAAGCTCTGACTTGAAATATCCTTCACTGTAATATCTCCACTTAAAAATAGCATTTTCTTACTGGGTCCCTGTGAATCATATCTGCATACCTTAATGAGTAAGTGTTTAATATTTTAATTTCTATTAATACAGAATGGTAAGTGCTGCTGGAAGTCAGCTGAAGTAAGAACTATGGCAGGCAGCTAAGTTACATTTCTCCCTGTGCATCATTGTCATCATCACCAAGTACTATCAATATAAGGACCAACCAGCTCCTAATTTCAAAGGAACTGGGTTTTTCAGTGATTGCTAAGGGCAGAGTTGTCACGCAGACCCTTTATTGTGACAATGATTCATGAGAAAAAAAGAAATCAGCCTGATTCTCTCATCACCAGTGACATTTTCTTTGGACTGCCAGTTAATTTTTTTTTTTTTTTGCTTATAAATAGATTACTCTAAAGTCAGGTAAAGGTGACAATATGGAACCCCTGTAGATATTTATGTTAGTCATCTTTTAGCATAAACCTGGGCTGTAAAGTGAGATCTCCAAACACAACCTCGTTACCTCAGCTTTTTTTTTTTCCCTTTTCTTACAAAAAGAGGCAAGTTCATCTGGGCTGTGTGTTTAAATCCTGTGAAGGTTTGTGTCCAGCTCTGAATTAGGCAGTGTCTCTGATGGCAAGTGATAATCCTGATTTGGAACAACTCTGCTCCCTGAATGCTGGCTCTTCTGCAAACTGGCATTGCTTGTTTTAGGCTGTGTTGGCCAGTGTTAAAATGCCTTTAAATTCCCCCAAAATGACAGCTAAGGAAAGTATTGTGTTGGTGTTTTGAGTCAGATCTTAAAAGAAGGACAGCTTTTGTCTGAGATCATACACAGCATCAGGCACAAGTGCTTCTGGGGGGTTATGAAGGCTCCATCCATGCAGCTGGGAATGCAGGAATATTGCTGATGCAAAGAGGAATGTGTTTCTCAGGGCTGCACTGTGCACCTCCATGATCTGAGATGAGAAAAACATGCCATCAGGATGTCTTTGATTGCTTTAACCTTTCTGTCCTCCACACTGAGGCAGCCCCTGGAGCCGCTCTCTTGCTTCCAGCCAAGATTCCAGCCTCTTTCCAAATATTCCATTTTAAGTAAGCAGGTGGTTGAAGTCTTCCTGAGTCCAGGGACATCTTACCTCCGGCAGGGTTTAAACCACAAATGAAACAAAGGGAAAAAAACCCACGGAAAACCAGAGTGAACCCGGGCCGGCGCTCGCGTCTCTGCTTCCGACTACGCAATCCGTGTTCTGGGAGTAAACTCAGTTCTGCGTGTTTAATCTGACACCTTTTGCAAGCAACACACTCACTCAAAACACCAGCAAGGAATAAACACCACCAGCCCTCTTGTAGATCTTTGATTGGGTAGCTAATTCACAAATGATTGACTACCCAAGTAGTGGGAGCATATGGAGGCTCTGTGAGCGACTGTCAACACGAGGAAAGTAGTCGGGGAAGCCAATTGTTAAGAACTGAAAACAATAGCGAACAAGAAAGTCCTTGAAGGAATGTGGCACTGGGGCTGCTCAAAGCCTGGATTTATGAAAACGCGGGGCCAAAACAAAAGAAGATGGCAGCATCATTTCCTATATGTGCTCCTCGTTGTTGGTTATTATTATTCCAATTTTTGACACTTGAATGAAATGTGGTATAATTGGGCTTCATAGCTGCTGCTTCAGGCGACATCAATTGCCTTTTTTAAAAATGATGATGGCATTGAGGGAGACTCTTTTTTTCCTTTTTATGTTTGGAAGCCGCCGCACTCTCGGTGCCACTCGTACAATACACGAAAGGGGCATTGTACTCCTGGGAGGGTCTGCAGGGCTGGGGACTGATCCCAGGAAGAAATATGAGATGGAGAAGCAAAGTAAACATACTGTAGGATGTTATGCTAAAGCTAATCCCAAGATATCCCTTCTTCTCTTTCCCTGCCTGGGCTTTCCTTACCGGTAGCTCGAGCCTTTCACTTCCTTCCCTGAGTGTGCAACATTGCAGGTGTGTGCAAGAAAACTCCATTCCCTGCCTTCCTTTGCTTTGATTCAGTAATCAATTCTGTCAAGTTTGAAGGACCTTAAGCTGTCATGAAAGGAAAATCATTCCCTAAACTGTGTTTATTTCTGCTACAAAAAACCACCCCTGAATCTTTTGTTTGTATTGATAGGTATAGTGCAGGAGTTGGTTGGCTTATTTTGACTCGGGGAGGAAATCAGATGAGAAGCATTATGTTTTTCAAAGTTGTATTCAGCAGGGAAAGGGAAGATGTGTATTCATCATTCTGCTTTTGCATTGAGAAGCAATTCTTTAGGAGGTAGAACAAATCTTTAAAAAATAATGCTGGAAATACTCTAATGACTCAGGAGACTGAATGAAGCTATTGTGGCTGGATCCTTTGTGGGGGATAGATCCTGCTGGGCATGTTTTAAATACCGTGCCCCTCATTTCTGATATACCCCAGCACAGAGCAGCATTTCACCTCAGTGTTCCCAAGGGAACTCTGGCCCCCCCAAAACTGCTGGGGTGTCCTGCCCTTACAGCCTGCATGTCCCCACCATTAAGGTTTGAGTGGTGATGTCCAGCTGAAAGAAGCAGAGGATTTTTTAGCTGCAGTAGGTGAAGCCTTTGCACTGCCTGAATGAGGTGGAACTGTTACTGGAGGAGAGAAGGGAAATAAATTGTGCCACCTCCGTGTAGCTTTAAAACCAAAATATTTGCGTGTATTGAAGGCAGTTTTTCCCTTCAGACAGACCCAAATGAAGGGTCTGGATCCAAACACCCCCAAATGAAGGGCCATCTGTACTGTAGCTCTGCTGTAGCTGCTTCCCAGAAAACCTGCCAAGGGATGCGCAGGATGTAGCCCCTGTGCCAGGTGCTGTCAGCAGCAGTTGGATGCTGGTTTCAGACGTCAGGAGGATCCTTCTAAAATTAACACACACGTGCAGGCCTGCACAGGTCCCCAGGTGAGCAAGAGTGCTCCCCTTGGTGCTCTCAGGCAGGGAACTTTTCCCTTTTTCCAAGGCCTAAGTCTGTGCATAAAGCAAAGGAAATGCCACTCGGAAAAAGAAGGAGCATAAATGGGGAAACACAGCCACAGTAACAGAAATGTCAGTTTATGATGTACAGCTTGTAAACAAGATGTGTGTAAAATCCCCCTCCACGCACACACACGTGGGTGTGAACTGTATTTTGGGCAGGAGTCCTTTTCTTGGAATCCTTGAGTGGTTTGGGTTGGAAGGAGACCATGAAGATCACCTCATTCCAATCCCCTTGCTGTAGACAGGAACACACCTTCCACTAGACCAGGTTGCTTCAAGCCCCGTCCAACTTGGCCTTGAACACTTCCAGGCATGGGGCAGCCATAAATTCCCTGGGCAACCTTTTCCAGTGCCTCACTACCCTCACAGTAAAGAATCTTATCCTAATATCTAATCTAAACTACTGTCTTTCAATTTGAACCCATTTCTCCTTGTCCTGTCACTGGAGATCATTGCAAATAGTCTCTCTCCATCTTTCCTGTTGACTCCCTTCAGGGACTGGAAGGCTGCAATTCCTTGCTGGGTCACACAGATGCCAGGGGTAGCCGTGCTGGTGGAGGCACGTCCTCCCCTTCTCCCAGCATCTCCTTCTGACTTTTCATTTTCACCAAAATGCCAAACTTCGACTACTTTAAGGCTCTGCCAACTGATAAAACCCCTTTCTTCTTCCTCCTCATCTTAGTGAGATCCCAAGTGGAGGATTCCTGGTGACAGCCAGCGCTACTGCCGGGATCTGGGAGCTGCCTGCGGGCGCCGAGCTGGAGCAGAGCAAGCAGAGTCAGGAGTGCTCATATTGACAGGTAACTCTTGGAACTTCATTGCCTAAAGACACAAATTTCAGAGCAGTTCTTGGGTGTAGGCGTTTAACTACTAATGATTTAGAATCTTTAAACAATTCTAAAATATTCTTTTTAATGAAATCTTTGCCGTTAACCTTTAACTGCTTCCAGTTCACAGAATGCTTTACAAGAAAGGGCAGGAAATCAATAGCTCTAAAAAGCAGAAGCAGCAGCCCTGGTGCATCAGCATGTGCATATCATAGTGGTGTGCCAGTGCCAGGCATTGCCCAGGGCAAGCAGGGGGTGACACACAAGAGCTGTCCCTCTGCCTGCCTCACTCGTGCATCATAATCTAGCTCATGGGGAAAAGGGATGAGGATTGGTTTTCATCACCAAGCCATTATCAGGGGAACCTGGGGAAGTGATGTTTGTCCACACAGGAATCCTCACATCCATTTATTTTTGAGACCTCGTTAGTGTGAGTACAGCAAGCAAGATTTTGACCTGTTTTTGGTCTTGTGCTGGTCCTGGAAATTCTTGTTACTTTTGTGACTCTGCTACAAGTACTATAAAACAGGAAAAGACTTAAAAATTAATTTATCTTCTTCTCAACCTCAATTTGTATCTCTATGCAAACAAACAAAACACACACACACACACACCCATAAACCCCCTGTTCAGTGAGCTTTCCTGCTTTCCTTTGTTCAGCTTTTCCATGCTTTTGTCTTAGATGTTAGAAGGTTGGACACAAGGTCATCCACAACCCATTTCATGTGGATACAGCAAGTCAGTTCAGGTCTTCTCCCCCTCCCCTCAATTCATCTGAAAGCTCTGCTGTGCAGTAATGGGGCTGAAAACACAGCCCTCATGGTGCAAAATAAAAATACTGCCGTTCCACAGGACTGCTGGGAAAGGATGTCCCAGGTGAGTGGCTGTGCAACTCAAAATGGGTTGTTTGGGTATGTCACATATGACTTCAGCAGTAGATTAGTGTGAGTTTGAACCCTTTTAAGCAGAAGCTGGGAAGGGGGTAGAAATACTTCTGTCATCAATAATTACAGGAACTTCTGTTCAGCCTTTGCTGCTCCTCACGGCCTGGGACATCCTCCTTGTGGAGCCCAGGGAAGGGCAGTTCAGGGAGGATATTATTGACGGGTGTCACAACCCCCCAGCGTGTGTCACTTGCCGATAGCAATTATTGTGGTGGCAGGGCTCTGCCCAAATGTTGCCATGGATATGGGCTGTGATCTCCTGTGAGTTGTTTGCCCAGTTTCTGAAGCTGACTCCTCTGTGTCTTAAACAATTATTGAAATCTATATGCTCTCTTTCCCTGTCTGTAAAAATGGGCTGACTCCCCTCACTAGTGTATTTGGAGAACAAATTAATAATGTCAGGCACTCAAGAGGAAAAGTTTTTCAATGTACATTTGCTCTGCAAAACTGCTCAATATTGTTATTATTTATTATTCTATGGACTCATCACTCTCAGCTCCCTTCTGCCAGAAGCTGCTTTGAAAGATGGATAAGTTGCACAGAAATTATTTTCCTTCGGTTTTCTTTGTGAGAAGGTTTTAAATGCAGCGTGGGGAGGGGTGTTTTTGTGAGGGAGGGCAAAGGAAGACAAGCTGCTGTGATTAAATGAGTTTGAAAAGGTGGAACCAAGGAAAGATAACTTCACACCTAAAATTCAGATTGCTGTATTACCAAATTTTTTACTCAGATAACAGGCAGAAATACATAAGAGTATAAACAATCCTTTTAGTACCTGCAGATATGTTTATAACACTTCAGTTTTCTCTCTGTGCCGTCTTTCCCTCCTCGCTGGTACAGCAGAAGTAAAAGGCAGGCAGAGATGTGAATAGCCCTAATTACTGTTTGTGAATTCTGTGTTTGAGGTGGCTGATAGATACCAGCACTGCTCCTGTCTCACTCCCTACTTCCAGTGCCTTTCCATCTGGTGCAGCTCGGGCTTTACGCTCCCTCAGGTTGATGTGAAAACTCCTGTGAAAGCAGAGTCATTGATTTTTTTGTAGGTTTAGTGCCAGAGCAATTTTAGGTGGCACGAGGCTGATTTCCTTGACTTTCGCTTTCCTGCTCTTGATACTTCTGTGTCAAACTCAACACCTTTCCCAACACTATCCTCCTCCTCATAATAACAAAGTACTCAGCACCTCCTCCTCCTCACTAGCGCTGTCAGCAGGAGCAGTGGAAGGGTGCTACAGGCGACTGTGTTTGTTTTGACAGTGCCAACTTTCAAAAGAATCTGCTGAGTTAGTGGGAGGTCTCTGTGTGTTTGTGTTTCTAAACATAATTGTTTAATTTGGGGATATTTCACCACTGCGCATCTCGTGGGGAAGTTACAGCCTGGCCTTCAGTTCCTGCTTGAGAGAGACATTGTGGTGAAGAATTTGATGTGCTGCAGCTCTCTCTCATTTTGGAGACAGCTCATGACATGGAGGGACTTTTCCAGGTCTTCCAGTTAGTTGGTGATAATGGAATAAGTAGTGGGGAGATTATTGTATTGTGTTATTGTAAAAAGGCAGCTGAAGGCTCCATTTTGGTGTCACGTATGTAACCATTTATCACAGTAAATTATCTCTGTAGTATCCATGGCCAAACCAGCAGGATCAGGATCAGACCCTGGAGCTGTGTGGGCTGCCAGGAATGGTGGTCACAAACACACCCGAAGGGATTCTGCCTGAGTTAAAGGGTATCACTGAAGACAGATTCTCACATATTGTCTTTCAGGTGTCAGTGACAGGAGGTGCCATGATTTATGACGTGGCACAGGAATCCCTGATTAATTGTCTGGCACTGCTGATGTGCAGGACATGACGTGCAAAGTGTTTTTTCCCAAGCATTTTATAAAACGTAGTAGGCAGGGAATGGACTCCGAGGCTGAAGTCCTGACACTGGGGCTGCCTGCTCACAGAAAGTGTGTTAAATCATCCCTTTAGTCCTCCAGCCGCTCTCTCATCCCACTTAGGGGGCTTATCCCTCTCCTCTGAGTGCTCAGGGAGATCAGAGCCCAAGCCCCGCTCCTCGGGCTGGTGTCAGTGATGTGCACAGAGCAAATGCCTTCAGCAAAATCTCCGTGGCACCGAGGCCATTTACATAGAGCCAGCAGGGCTATTTAGGTAGGTGCCAACCTGAAAGCTCCTTATTTCTGAGCTCCTTCAGGACTCAGACCTTGCAAGAGACCAAATGTAAGTGGATAAAAGGCTTTTGCACATGTAAGTCCAGTGGCCCCTTCACACTGGTGATAGAAGAAATGGAGACTCTGCCCAAACTCTATTGAAATAAAATCCTGCATTTTAATCGGTGGATTTTCCACATTTCTCTGCATACTATTGTTTCTTTTTATTTTGCAGCATGCCTGCTCGATTCATGAGGCATTTTTGTGTCCTTTCCAAAATGTGGGATAGGCAGTGAACTCAGCTTCAGAGCCATAAGCCTTTTTCTTCCCCACCTAAAAAAAATCCCACCTGCTCTCTCTTTATACATTACCACCCTGCCTACAGCTGAGATAGGGATGTAGGGAGACAGGGAGTGTATCTGTGAGCGTGCTGCTCATGCTTATATTCCAAATGAACATGACATTATCTTTGAACTTAAAACCACTTCTTTGAATAACTACATTTTTTACACGGCACAACAGTGAGCCTCAGCTTATAACAAAAATACATCTGCAGAGGGAACTGGAGTTTAGCCTGCAGGGACTGGATCTGCCTGTTTATCAGTTTGTGCATACAGGGATGAACCCTGCAGTGGTCCTGCCCAAAAATGAAACTAAGGCGTTTGCTACTCGGGGAACTGTGGGCAGCCCTGTGTGCCAGGGGATTAGGGAGGGGGAGGACTTCCAAAGGGAAAGGCTGCAGCCCAGAACTCGGGTTTCCTGGGGGTGGTGCAAAGAGGTGCTTCTTCCTCCTGGAAGTTTGGTGGCAGTTGAGCCTGTTCTAATCTTGAGCCGGGACTGTTCTCCCTCCTGCCATCCCCACTCTGTGCATTTGACAGTCTGTGGTCTGATCATCTGTGTGAGCTCCTTGGAGACACCCATCCATGTTGAGCCAGAGGACATATATCTCTTGCTCTCTCCTTTTGTGCACTGAAAGGATATTGTTTTGAAAGTCACACTATACAACAGCCATTGCAGAGGGTGACTCTCAGCTCCTCTGCAAACAGAAGAGAGCTTTGCACGCAATTCAGTATAAAACAAGGTTATGTCTTTAATTAAATTATTTAATCCCCTTTTTTGAGAGAGAGAAAGTCTTTTTTATGAGTTTAGAAATAAGGAGGCAAAAATTCTGGTGGTTTTTTTTTTCAGGCTTGAATTTCTTCAGTCTCCTTGTATTGCTCATTTTTCTACTCTGTGTTTATACTTCTGGGGAAAGGGGATGGCACTTATTTGTCTCTGTAAGGTTTGGGGTATGGGATGTAGCCTTATTTATAAAGTATTCTGTGCACTGGCAGTTGTAAGAATGAAGAGTAAGCCCCAAATACCTCTGTCTTATTAATTTTGGCATTAACAAGACATGTAATTTTTACAACTGAAGATGGCTTCTCCTTCTTAAAACAGTCCTTCCTGTTTCACGAGGTGAGCTGCGTTTCTGCTCTCTGAGGGGAATGGCCTGGAATTCACAAACTAGAGCGGAATGGCAAAAAAAAAGGGGGACAGAGAAATTAGGAAGAGTGGCCAAATAAGCCAGGCATATGCACTGCATTTTTCCTTCAGCCACGAGTCACACCCTGGTCCTCCTTTCCAGGCGAGCCGACCGAGGCAGGAAGACGAAAAGTAACTCTGATCCCATAAAAAGCTGGAACTTGAACAGGAATCCAATTAGCTCCTTTGTTTTAACGTTAAACTGCCTCGCCTTGACCTGAGCCCACAGGTAGTGTTCCCGTCCATGGCTGTTGTCAGGCAGTTGTATGAATGTGTTACAGAATTAAATAATGTGGCATTGTGCTGGATGAGTAGCACTTACGCACTAAATTATCACAGCTCTCCCTGACCTTGGCAGCATC